AAAGTCTCAAGAACGTGGAATAGTACTTAGGACGTACTACTGGGTAGTAGTTCAGCGGTGTAACTGCGATCGAACTCTGTTGCAATCAGGGTTGCCGCTCCATAAGGGGCTGCGGTAATACAGGCATAAATAATTTTACTAATTCAGGGATTCTGCACTATTGGGTCCATGCGTTAAGTCCTGAGGAACAATCTGAGACTAATGACGTTCATTTTAACCGCTTAATTATCGAGATATTCGCATTTTTCCATCGCTAGGAATGTTCACTCACCTGTCGGTACGATTTGGCTAGCAGTTTGAGCGAATTGCCACGGGTGGCGCCAGAAATAGTGGTATTCCGCGATTAAATGCTATTTTAACAGTATTCTGGTCGTTTATTGATAATCGCAATAACAGAGAATTATTCTACGTACTTCTAGCTACAAATCAGGTGCGTTGTCTAAACGAAAGCTATCCGTGTAACGGTGTAAGAGCTGTCCAAAGTCAACTAAACGGGGTACGCATGACGAGGAGATACAGTGTTAACCCGTTGCAAATAAATGTGATTTTAACAATGTTCTTGTAATTACTGGTAATCACAGCCGCTAGAAAGTACTAATCTACGTTCTTAAACCTTCGAATTCAATGCGTGACGAAGAAAAATGATGCCCGTTCAGCGGTGTAAATGCGATCGAACTTTGTTGCAATTAGGATTGCCGTCCATAAGGGTCTGCGAAAAACTCTAAAAAGTTCAGTTGTCTTAAAAGACACGAGAGAGTTTCCTGATTACATTAGTGTATACAGCTATTATATTTTGTAATTTTGGATAGTAATAAATGCACGTCAAGTTTAAGAAAGATTCGCTGCGCGTTCTTTCTACGCAGTATTTTTACATTTTTATGAACAGTTCTTCATCCAGCATGAATTCCCTACAAAAAGAGAAACCATCCAGAAGAAGTATCAGAACAGTTTTGTATTCGGAGAGGTCTAGAAAATATCTGTCAAGAACATGTGCGCGGCGGTTTGCCGCCACTCGGCCATTACTCGCCTGCCTTGCTGCATTAGTGCCGTAGTTACGGACGATCGACACCAATAATACAATATAATTAGCACCCACTTTTTATATGTTTGTATAATGTTTGGTGTTTTGGTGAATTGTGAAGTACTTGTCTTTCATCACTGTAAGTTTTAAGCAATTTCGATGTTCGGTACATGAATATGTGTGACTTATGAATGTGAAGCCATAAAAGAGCAAATACATGTATGTTTAGTAACTTACAAGGTTTTTATTATTATGATTTTACATGATTTAGAACACTTTTCCAAATATGAAAGTTGTATAAGTATTGAACAATCACTATTAGACACTATAAGACTTCGCGTTATTGTTCAAATATTGTTTAATGACTTTCAAATACTGCTGTATTTGGAAGAGAGTTTTAAATCATGTAAAATCGTAATAATAAAAACCTTGTAAGTTACCTAACCCAGACTCTTTTGTAAACTTTAAAATTGCAAACTAATATCGAATTTATTATAACTGAAATGTATCATACAGGATCTTATACAGAGTAGCCGCCAGTCACTGAGTGTCTTGTGTATTATAAATTGTTCCAAAATTCAAACGTGTTCCGGATTTCCGGCACTCGTTTTCGTACAGATCCTTGTCACCTATGGCGCTGCAAAATGACCAAGTAAAACCAGGGAGACGTACCCCCGTGGGTGCGAAACTGGATTCCTTCTGGTGCCCTCCTGCCGAATTCCCCGCGCCCCTTTTTTCTCTCTCGTCGACTCACTGGCAACACCGGGTAGGTGAACCAAGGCAGAGAGGCAGGTGGAGGTATTGACTGGCGCAGCGTAGCACGCGCTCGCGCGACTCTCGCTACCGGAGAGAGAGTCCCGTAGAATAAGGTAGACGCGACCTGTGCCGAGGGCAACAGACAGAGACAGGTAGTCCAGTTTATATACCTGGCCGCCCGGCGGCCCCTGCCGTCCCTCCTCATCATTCGCCTGAATCCGACCAATGGGCGGCCACGCGTCTGTGGTAGTGCGGCGTCGCCACGACTCCGTTCGCGCAGTGTCACAACTCGTTCGACCGTCGAGCTGAACGTTTCTATTTCCTGAGAGGTGTATACACGGGTAGTTTACGTGCGCGCCTTTTAACGTCACCCTTCCGCGGCGGGGATCTTTTGTTCCGCCGATTCGGTCCGTCTCGTAGTGCACGTGTTTCGCGGCAATCCCGCGACAGCGGTCGTTCCTCGGTTCACGGTGTATATCTACGGTGCGGTCTCTGTCTTATTCGAGAGGAGAGTAGCCATGCGATTTTCGTGGGTGTTCGTGGCCACGGTGTTCCTCGTTCTGGTCACCGGGGCGAAATGCAAGAGGAAGTTCGACGGGGATTTCGAGTTCGCCGAAGAGGTGAGTCCACTGGCTTTTTATCCCCCTCCCCCCCTCCATTTATTTTGTTTGATTTAACGGCGTTCGCTGCTTGTGGTCATACTATCTGAGTAGCTAGCTAACAGAATGTCGAACAAGAAAGTATTGACTTAGGCGTTTTATTACAGAATTGCTTTGTGAGTCTGGACGTGAACTATTGTTTATTTACTTACGTTACTGAAAACATTCTAACAAACCGAGAATATTAGGCTGTGTAAATATATAGTTTTTTTTTTTATTCCATCGCTTCTGACGTTTTATTTCGTATTGTTAAATAGTAAGTTTAAATCGCGGGAACCGTCTAATAAACTCGCGTGCCAACAGCATGAATATTTAATCTGAATTTTTATTGAAACCGGTAACAATATTTTCTACTTAATGTTCATGGTCTATGACGTATTGAATTCATGGGAACGATAGAATTATTGGAAGCATCTTTAAATGATACGATTTTGAGCGGTAAGACATTTCGCGTTAGAACGTATCGTTTGGTTGCCAAGCGGTCGTCGATGACAGATCGCGAGCGTGTTACTTTTGTAAGTTGACAGCATGTGCAGTTACTTTTTTTAAATCAATTGGATCGAACGTCACAATTTCGTGTCTGCAAGGATACGATTCAGGCAAAACGAGCCTCGAATGTGGAGCGTGTCGTAAAAAAAGCGTCTCGCAGAATTAAATAATACGTTTGTCTTCGTTTTCACCTTACGGTTCTCGCGTATCCTTTGGTCGTGTTTTCATTGAAGTAGTTTCCTACGATTTCGTGTAAAAGCGTGTTCTTTGTACCGCGACGGACGAGCCGATTGAATTAATTGATGATACTTAATTGGTAGTGATCTTCTTTAAGAGCGGCCATAAAACCGTACGTTTGTGGCCGTGGTTCATTGGGTAGCCGGGCAGCACGCAATGCAGACACTTTTACTTTCACGTAACCGGATCGTTGCTCTAATGCAACTTACCACCGATGAGATTGTTTATTTTCTTATCGATGATCGCGTGCACACTTTCTACGCGTTCGCCATCAGTCTCGAGGTAAACACTACGCGATCGGAAACGAATGAAAACTTGCGCGCTACGTTTCATGCTTTCGGTTATGAACGGGGAATTGTATATGTATAAATTAGTCTACCGAGGATATTAAAACTTGGAGCCTCAGGATTTTTTCATGCATCATCAATGTGTATACAAGGTGGATCATTTAAATCAGAGCGCACACAAGTAAGTTGACAATAAAATTGAGGGCAATTCAGGTCAGAGGGTACCATGATTATAAATCGTGGATTCTGGAGTAATGGAACCCTTCGAAAAAAAGAATCCAAGGTACTGACCCAAGTAGAAAAGCATTCTCGTTTTCCCTTCCAGGGTTTCAAAGAGGTTCCTTAAGAGAAAAAACAGCAGATGTAGGTGCAATAACAACATACACGGTACATCACCCAAGAAATGCCGAATATTTTCTTGGACACCGTTACCGTTGGGTCTGACCAGACCCGTCGCGTTGTTCGGTAGACGTTAAGGCGATAATAGGATCAGTCAGGTTTCCATTTCCTCGAAACGGTGAATTCATTCCTCGAAGTGGATTACACTCGACGCCGTCGTCGCGACACGCCTTCTGCAGATTGGAAGAAAAGTGTTCACTGGCGTGAGGGAAGGGGCTATGGGGAGGGAGAGCGTGGGGACTTCCGTGTATGTATCGGGGGTAGTTAGCATTGTTCGTCAACATGCAGAAGTCGTCTTCGTCTTAATACTCGGCCACTCTAAATTCATGAAGTCGGAACGCTTTCAGCGACCGCAGTTGGCCCAATTTTGCGATTGCTGTAACGTCATAACTCTATACGAGCGCCGCGTGTCGCTATACATATACATACACGGAGACTCTTGACCCTTTTATCTTTCTTCCCTTTTGCGATCCGACCGTGTTGACATTTTTATTTTTTTATTTCGCCTACCATCGTCGGCCTGAACGAGCGTAATGGAAAACACACATCCTCGTGACGCGTTCTTACGTTACGGCCCTGCCCCCCTTGAGGCGAGGCAAACTGTTGTTGTCGGTTGAACCACTTACCAATAACGCTTTATCCGCTTTCACGATGATTACGTTTTTCTTCCAGTCACCGTTCTCCCTCACCTTCCTCGCGAGACAATGCCATGATTTTCCGCGTAGCCGCGATTCTGTGTTCGTACCCCTTATATCCACCTGGGGAATTCGGTTACGAAACGCTGGGTGGGGGGGGGGGGGGATTCTGCAATGAGTTGCTTCTTTTCTTATGGAAGTGCAACTAATTACCAACATTTTATACATCCCAGCTTTAAATCCTGGAATCTGTAATTGTCCGTCCGCTTCTTCGGGGCTGCAGAGGACGCGTTCGAATATTCATGAGGACTACAATACTTAACGTGGAAATTAAATTTCCATTTTCGCCCTCCTATTCTTTTGCTCGCTCGAAAAACGGGAAAACGAGAAATTCCGTGACGGGAGAATTGAATTACATCGCGCGCAATCGGTTTCACTTCGCGAATACGGTGGACGGAAAAGCTCCTCGGAAACTTTTTCCGATAAATATTCATGCAGGCATACATATATAGGAGATGATTTCTTCGTCTTTTTATTGTTGGAGCCGGAATTCGTGGTACGCGTTCCAGTACGATTTTCTGCCAAGAGGAGGGTAGGGGATTCTACATGTGAAACGTTATACATAGATTCTGCACGATTTCTGCTTGTAGTCTCTTTTATGCGAGTAAACGCGCGTCACCCGTACTTCGTGCTTCTTTCATGCAACTATCGATCGTGTCGAACAGTTTCAACATCGATGTGAATGACGGTGCTTATTCGACACGCTTATTTCCAGATGGATCGAAGGGTAGTTACAGATCGAAAATAATAACATTGCTTCCCTTTTATGCTCGTTTGGAACTTTATTCGGAAGGTATTATGTACATAATATCAGCCACAGTATCATTTATGTACGATAACCCGAAGGGAATCGAACAGGATCGATTCAAGTGACTGTTATCTTACCATCTGGAAGAACACTCTTTTTACTCGTTATAAAAAGCCAACGGACAGAATTCAGCGAGCTTCTCTAGCGATTCGCCGCGGTTACTACAAGAAAACTTTGAAAAAATCTATGTTCTTTCTTCCCCTGGTAATTAATCTCTCATTTAACAAGATAACATTGTTCCAACTGGCCTTATTCCCGTGGACCGCGAAAAATCTTGCCGGTTGCATCGTTGTAATTGCCTGATCATTAAAGGTCCGATCCGAGTGGCTGAAATTTAATCGAACAGAGTTAACCAAGTTTCCTTGTTTAACTTTATCGTCGTTGAGTTTCACTTGCCGGGAACTCCTCCGTCGTCGTATTTTTCACGAAGCAAGCTACCTTATATCGTCCACCTATTGGGTCGACTCTATAAAAAAAAGACTATACCAAGCATCGTGTACTTTCGAGATCGAGTTGCCTGTATCATACTGTAAAATGTTTCCCCAAAAAACTGGACCATTCACTCTGATCACAAAATAACCTTTGAACCAGCCAATCGAATACCTATCGAATGAACCCGTGGAACATCAAAGAGGCCAGAGTTTAAAATGTCGCGGTTCCGGAAAAATGAGGCCTGGTATGCTCGAATTTCGCCGAAAAATCCCCAACGTCCCGGACGATTTGAATGCGTAATCGGGGGCGACATCCGCGTTGTACAGGTGTTCC